CGCCGGCACGGCACACACGGTCATAACATCTCATCCCGTAAATGTGTGTTAGGAGACCGAACAGACCCTTCCTCTGGGGGCGGACAAGTCAGGGGAACTAGAATCATAAACGTACGTTTGGGTAAAGATAGACTGTGGGCCCCGTTTGCGACTGTAGTGCCTGTCTACGTGTGTGAGAGCCGTACGTGATCATTTCACGCACGCACGCACGCAAGCACGCACGCACGCACGCACGCACACACACACACACACACACACACACACACACACACACACACACACACACACACACACACACACACACACACACACACAAACACACACACACACACACTAGCCCTTCTCCACTTGGTGAACAACACAACAAGCACTGTATTTACCAGTCTGACTTCAGACCACCACTCGTGAGGAGCACAGGCACACTCTGACTGGATTCTATTTGGAGCTTTCAAATTATTTGAAAAGGATTCATTTTGTTTATGACTTCCTTTTTATTTTGGCGTACGGTTGATTAGACTTTTTGGTGGCAGCGTCTTGGACAACAGGCCGTAAGAATTGGACTTTGTCCTCTTTGAGTTCTGTACTGGATTTGTATACCGTTTGAATGCTGAAGTTGGCAGGTGACCCTCAGAAAAGCGGAGGTGAGGTGCTAACGATGTGGATCCCAACCCCCAGCATGACTCTCCCTCAGCGGTTGGTGCTGTACGGGACATGTGTGGTGGCATTGATGAACTCTGTGGGCCTCCTGGTGCTCCTGGTCCAGCAGAATCAGCAGCGAGCCCTGCTGCAGCAAGCAGAGGTGAAGCTGACGGAGGTGGAGCAGAGCTCCGTGGTGGAGTTCCTCCAGGAGGTGCCGAGAGGAGCAGCAGCTTTGCGGGCTAGGGCGGGGGAACATCCGCAATATCAGTCCCAGTTTTCCAGGAATAAGAGAAGTGAAGAGCTGGAGAAGGAGCTACAGCAGGAGATGCAGGAGCTCCACCAGGTGGAGGGACAGGAAGTCAGCCAGGAGGTCAGCCAGGAGGTGGGAGAGGAAGCAGAGAAGAAGATGAAGAATGAGATGAAGCACAAACATCGACAGAGTTACCCCAAGGCACACCTTCAGGACGACATGATGATGATGATGACCTACTCCATGGTCCCGGTGAGATTTGGTCACTTTGTATTTTGTCATCACTGACCTTCGCTCCATCAACATCTGGATAAGATGGGCACCGGTCCCCAGGCCTCAGACCATCAGGGGGTCTGAAGGCTCCAGGTCCTGCATGTTGGGATTTACTGTGTGCAATAATACCACAACACTGAAATAAAACAGAGTGAGGGCTAGGGTTACACTCGGTGGGATTATGTCATTTCAAAGCCCAATGGTACATTTTGTAAAACACTTTTAGTGTATAGGAATATTTCCATGTTGTGCTTGGAGTGTGTTGCATTGTTACAGATTAAACTAAACATGAAACAACAGCATTTACATTGATAACATTTGCATTACAAACTACAACATCGCCGTGTTTCTTAACATCAGTAACAATAATTATATCATATGTAATTTATTATTTAATTGAATATTCAAAGATATACGATGCATAAGTAATGTTATACTTTTGATAGTATATTTAGTTAATTATGCTTTTATCTTCAAATTGTTTTTTTATTTACTTGTTAGTTTATGTTATTGTTTTAGAGGTGTCTTGCTACTTTTACATAAGGATCAGAATACTGACTAAATGGGCTGTCAGTGCAATCGTATCTTTGCCCCTGTTGCTGACATGTAAAGCATTGTAAAACTGTTTCTGTTTCCCCTTAGATCAAATTGTTGATTGACATTTGCAACAGCACCAAGGGAGTCTGCATTGCAGGTATGTCTTCCTCATACACGTAAAGCTACAGACTATATCCAAAAGATTACTTTTTGTTCTTTAACATCTTTAATCATTCTCTTGCAGGACCACCGGGACCGCCTGGTAAGAGAAACCACTCTTGGTCCAAATTTAAAATCTAGCCATACTGCATGTCTACTTTGTGGTTTAGTGACCCATATTCTAGCTGAATGTGTTTTCCATTTTGCCCATGGTCAAGATTTTGTGTGTTACTGAAGGTTTGCCCGGTGTGGACGGTATGCCCGGCTACAATGGGACTGATGGCATTCCTGGACTGAATGGACTGCCCGGGGCTGATGGGAAAAGAGGAAAAAAAGGTACAAAAATAATTGAGGCTCTACTCTGTATTTAATCACCATCCATTTTTATAATGCCTCGAGCAATGCTGGCCATTTTAGTAAAGAACCATGTGTACAATGTACAAGTCAAAGGGTTGAGTGTAACCTGAGGCTAAAAATAGCCCACGCACACAGACACACACTGAACACACACAGATTCCTGATCTATTCGTGAATCATAATGACGGTTGATTTCATTCACAGTAGATGACTGAACAGCCGCCTTTCTCTCACATTCTTTGCAAATATTATTCATCGCTGTGGTTTTGGGCTTCGGCTAAATGAACTGGAAAACTCCTACCAAGTATTCTCCCACTTGACTTCACTGTGCTCCTTCACAGTGGTATGATGGCATGATTCACCAGAGGAAGTCAAAGGAGTAATTCATGCTTTTAACAATAGTGTGTTTAATCTGTGAGTGCAATCTTGGAGATATTTTCACAATGTTCATAATATTTTCCAATATCAGGTGAGAAAGCAGAACCAGGTGAAAAAGGGGAGCGAGGAGAGGCCGGCCCGCCTGGAGAGAAGGGACAACCGTCGAATGACGTCATTATTGAGGGTGAGTAGAGCTTTACTGATCACTGAGTCACTTTAAACATTTAGCAATAAAAAAGCTGTAAAGATTTGCCAAAAAAAGCCTTTCAGAATGCCTTTATCTTTAACCTTATTTCACTGTAGTGGCTATATATTTCCTTTCTTCTTTGTACAGGTCCCCCTGGCCCTCCAGGTCCTCCCGGGTCCCCAGGACCTCCTGGCCCTCAGGGGCCTCCAAGAACAAGGCACCACAGAGCCAACCTTCAGGCTGCTCATTCCATGGGTAAAATGCCTTTATTGACTTATAAACACATACTCTGCAGATTGTATTACAAATTAATCTTGAACATGGAAACACTATTCTGCAAATCGATAACACAACATGATCCATGAAGTCTGGATGCTTCAATCAAATCACACAGACTACCAGCCTGCCCAGATGTCATGGAGTTGTGTTTCTTTTTCTTACACTTTAAGGACTTAAAATGCTAAGAAGCTCCATTAGCTGAACAAGCTCATATGATATAATCCAAAACTCCACAGCAGCTAGTGCATGCTCCTCGTGGTGAGGTTGTTTTGAGAAGCACACTCCTGTCATAAAATCACTCTGTTTATTACAGGGCTGTTACACGCAAATCCAAATGATGGAACCTCCTCTGCGAATGCTTTGAAACTACATGAGAAGCCAGCTAAGAAGAACGGTTTGTGTTCAGAGAAGTGTGTCTACATCTAAAACACATGTGACAGATGTAACCCTCTAACTTTGGTGTGACTCTGTTTCCCCTCAGAGTGCCTGATCAAGTCTCTGATCAACCCCAGGAATGTGTCAAAGATGGAGAGCACATTCGGCGCGTATATGAGAGACACCGCTGAGCTGAACGATGAACGAATTTGGGTGGCAGAACACTTTTCTGGTAGATTGGTTTGACCAACAGCATGATAGAAAATATATTAATCTAAACCTAGAGCAAGGCTATGAGTGTCAAAGCAATGCAAGGATGTTATACTATATATCTCTACTTTCTTAACATTATTTATTTGCAGTTAGCAGTAAACATGTTGCATGTTCTTCTCCAGGTCGTGTGATAAAGGAGTATAAAAGCATCGCCTCCTTCCAGAACAGCACCAGCGAGATTGTGGATGTTAAAAAGTTCTACCAAGGCTGCGGCCACACTGTTCACAACGGGTCCTTCTATTATCACATCGCTGGTACTTCCAGCATTGCCAGGTAAGCCGATAGTGAACAGTGTGATGCATCATGAGATCACTTCCTATCGTTTCCGCTACATCCAGTTAACCACTTGCTGTTTGTTTGTCCACAGGTTTGACTTTCACACCAAGAGGCTTCACACGCTCACTATAGAAAACGCTTTGTACCACAACCTCGCCTACCTGCTCCACAACTCCAAGACCTATTTCAAACTGGCAGCAGATGAGAACGGCTTGTGGCTGATCTTTGCCTCCAGCGTGGATGAGAGCATCACGGTGGCCCAGCTGGACCCGAAGACCTTCTCCGTCACATCCTACATAAACACCACCTACCCGCGCACCAAGGCCGGCAATGCCTTCATTACCTGCGGTGTCCTGTATGTCACAGACACAAAAGACGCCAGAGTCACCTTTGCTTTTGATCTGCTGAAGGGGAAGCCGGTGAATGTGACCTTTGACCTGAGGTCTCCAGGTGGGGTGCTGGCGATGCTCTCCTACAGCCCCAAAGACCGACACCTGTACGTGTGGGACCAGGGCTACGTCAGGCTCTACGTGGTCCACTTCATCTCCGACGAGTGAAAACTGTCTGGAAGTGACAGACAACACGTAGACATGACTGTTAAATAGCGAGAGCAAAATGCCTGCTGACCAACAACTATTCACTTTGTCTTTGGAAACTGGTCATATTTGGGTTTTCAAGAAAAATGTAGACATCTGTCTTATAGTGCATTCCTGTCAGTAATCGGTTGTTTAAAACTATAGTTTCACTTAAAGGTGACTTTTTATGAAAACACATTTTTCAGTGCTTTCGCAGATACATTTGGCTATCTGGAGTGCTAAACTGTGAAACCCAGTCCGTCTCTGTGAAAACAGTTCAGAGTTCAACAAGCCGATCAGTTTTGCCTCTCCTTCCTCTGTTCCTCCCCAGCTCATCAGAATACACTGCCCCCAAACTTAATAAAAACAGTATCACCATTCGCTTATATACTGAAATGGGGCATTTCAAGAGGGGGGCTTGAAGAGGCAAGCGCAAAGACGATGCATTTCAGATGTAAGGTTAATGCAGGTATCTTCAAACGTTATGATATAAGATTTTTTTCAACATTAAGGCATGTAAACATATTCTAGTAGAAACCCAAAACATAAGAATGAATCTAAAACTGAGCATGATACATCCCCTGAAGGTTAATAATTATTGTGCTTTTGTCAAAAATCTATGTATTAAATGTATATCCTTTTTGCGATATACATGTAAGACTATGCAATTACTAACAGTGTGAACACTTTTTCTCATTTTGTATCAAGTCATTTTTTTATACAAATTTAATTTATAACTACATATTTGAAGCCGTATGTATTCTAAGTTGTTACAATATTTAATGTATTTGCATGATAAATATCTTATTTAGTTTTTTTATAGATGCACGTTACCCCCATGTACATATAGACACCTGCCTTAGCTTCTTCTCCTCTAGACAGAAAGTCAAAAAACAACAGCGCCAAATCACCCTGATGAAATAAAAGAATTTATTCACTTTACAAAGGTAAAACTCTGACCATGACCTGTTCTCTCACACACCTCCAGGCTCAAGTGCCCTAGTAAGCGTCTACCCATGATATTGGCTTATTTTGCATTATTACATGCACACACACATACACACCAGTAGGACCATTGGTAAAACACTTAAGCTACATACAGTACACATAGTGGGCCGAAAGAGGGAGAGAAACACAAATCTCTTTAATAAATACCATGGATACACTTAACAAAAGATACAACTAATCCAGCTGGTATGATACAAACCAAAAATAAAGAAATGCTTTCATGTTTGTACAAGCTGTTGTGGTATTTCATATATATATATATATATATTTAAATCATTTATATATTAAAACTATTTCAAACGTTTTACTACTAGGCCAAATAAAGCCAGACATTCATTTGTATACAACAGTTTCTTCTGCAATATCCTATTTATTTGAAATAACTTTTAGTGTCTCCAGAACTTTTGAGTGCAAATATCTATTCTTTATAGATGAAACAGTAAAAACAACTAGCGGGGTATCACACACACTTACATACAGTAGACTGTGTTGCACATCTCCCAGTCGGATACAGTAAAACCCCTTACATTCCTAAAAATAAAAGGCAATAAGTTAAATAGGAATGGTCAACCAAACAAGTATACAAACACAAACATATAAATAATTTAGATAATAATAAAAATATTATGCAAAACCAGGAGTGAACCTTTGTGTTTCTGCTCTGGGGGGGCATTCAGGTTTGGACCAGACGGATGGAAACATTGAAATAACAGGAGTAAAATCAAACAGGAATGTTCTAGCAGTGACACACACACACACACACACACACACACACACACACACACACACACACACACACACACACACACACACACACACACACACACACACACACCAAACCAGGAGAGGCAGCCAAAGGGGAGAGAAAAGCCGGACATAAAAGGCTGGGGGAGGGGGGGGGTAAAACCATTGAAACATAATGCAGATTCCAACAACTGGATTCACACCGGAAACCACTGACTTAATAACAAACCACAGTGCTGGTTACAGTAGATGCTAAGAGATTTCAACTGTGGGCACAAAATGACAACAGTTACACACTTTTAAAATGTTAGCTTGAGCACTTTTACAGAGCACTATCAATAGACCTGTGATTGCACCGCGTAACGAGAACCGGACATGCATAGCTTCCCTATGGACACACTCGAAGAATAGAGATTCTTCAATAAAATTACAATAAATCTAGCTTCAAAATCAAGTATGATAGCCTTTACTTGTAACTTTGCTTTCTGTCTTCAGGGAAAAAAACAAAAAACACATTTGCAGCTCCGTTTCCCATTGTGGAAATGATTTACATCAGTAGACTCCTGACACAGCACACTCTGAAAGATGCCAAAAGCTTGGTGATCTATTGACCACCTCTTCCCTCATCAAGTATACTATTAATGCCTAGCAAGTGTTAACGTAAGCTTTTAGTTTTTTCTCTCTGTCTATTTCCTCTTTGGACCCTCAGAAGTGGAAGTAGGTGTTACAGGATGTCCACCAAGCTGCTGGGGATATTGTAGCGGTCAGGGAGGACCCTCATCTTCAGGGTGCCGTCTGCTCCACAGGTGAAGATGCGGTTACCGGGGCGCGTTTCCACCTGCATGACACCGGCACCGATGTTGCGGAAGATGGACTGCTTGGTATGTTCGGTGCTAAAAGAGTGCATGAGGCCGTTGCCGGATAACTTCCACACCTAGAGACAGAGACAGCAGAGGGAGAGAGGAGGAAACAGTTGCTACGTTTATTTCCAGGTTCTTTATCATTTTTATAACCCGTAGACTGCCACTGTGAATGTCAAGTAATTTGAAGGCTGTAACACTTTCTCAAAGTGATATTTGACCTGTCAAACAGAATCAAATCAGCGAACCAGCACATTGTTTCAAAGCTGACAAATGTCCCACCATAACCAGCATGGGATCAGGATTATTACGAGGCAAGATGTAAAATGGCTATGTATTTTAGTAGAAATGTACCATTTATTAATAGATTAATATGATATATTATATGTTGGTATGAAAGATGATTTTCTCCTTTCGTGGAGTAGGTCAGTACCTTATATTAATCAGACAATCACAGTTCAACAGTAAATGTGTTCTGGCAGGTCAGTGATTGAGTGATGGAGCAAGTGCGTCACCTTCATGTTGCCCTCTGCGGAGCCAGTGACGAAGAAGTCCTCGAAGGCATCCAGAGCGAGGGCTTTGATGGCTGAGTCATGGGCCTGGAAAGTGTGGAGCAGCTGCCTCTGGCGGATGTCAAACACGCACACAAAGCCCTTTCTGCCTCCAGTGATGAGCAGCTGCTGTTTAGCAGCATACTGCAGAACAGTGGCCCCGTTCTCATGGCAGGGGAACGCTAAGGGGTGGGTGGGGAGAAATGTGGAATTGAAATCGGAAAAACAACTTGATGTACAGGAATATAAATCATGAATTAAAGACAAGTTTGACACATTTGGGATTTCTTACCATGGACCATGGTATTGCTAGGTGAAATCAGAGTATCCCACAGGCAAACATTTCTGTGGATGAATTAAAACAAGGACGATATCAGTGAGTGGAACCAACTGAGAAAGATTAGGGTTGGATAATTGAAGTTGCAGGAGCTGACCTGTTATCACTGGACTGTCCAGCTGTGGCGATGAGGCTGGAGGACGTGACGAAGGCAAAATCACCGCACGTCTTACTGTGGCACTGCCAACTCTGTTAGAATGGAACAGGACAAAATAAACAAACAGTGCTTATTCATTTTAATGACTCAATGTTTTGGTTTTTATGTCTGATGATGTGCATGTGTGGTGATTAGGGAGGTGAGAGAGGTGGGAGGGACCTCACCACGTAGGGTTTGGGGTTGGAGGATGTCTGGTTGACCTGCCAGAGACTGAGGAAGCCCTCTCCGTCAGCAACTCCACACTACAAGAAGAGTAAGGTGAAATCAGGACATTCACACAACATAGACTAAACACAGATATTACAGAGTGTGTGTGTGTGTGTGTGTGTGTGTGTGTGTGTGTGTGTGTGTGTGTGTGTGTGTGTGTGTGTGTTTTAGTATTTATGTATGTGTGTACCTTATTGCCCTGGGAGTTGAAATAGAGCCGGGTGACTCTAGCGTTGCCTGCTTGTCTGAAGCAAATTAGCTGCTGAGGTCGGTTCCATTCAAACATTCTTACACTGCCGTCCTGAGCCCCGGTCATGTCTGACACACACACACACACACACACACACACACACACACACACACACACACACACACACACACACACACACACACACACACACACACACACACAAAGAGAGAGGGAGGGAGAGTAAGAAAAGGAGACAGGTAGAGAGGTGGAGGCAGACAGAGGAGCAGAGAGATATAGAGGAGATGGGGATATATTAACCAAAAGATAATCAAAATGTTAACTGCTGATGACCTCTTATTCACAAGCTTCAATGTAGGCACTTACAATACTGATATATGGGATGGGATGTCATTCTTTTCACATTGTTTAGATTCCTCTTCATAATCTGAAAAACAATAAAAAAACATTAATTAATATATTAACGGATGATTCACCAAAGATTAATTATTCGAGAACATGGAACCTGCATGCCCTGTCTTGCTTTGTGAATCAAACTGCAGCACCAGCATTTATCAACATGGCTGGGAAATGGAGAACCCTGGCGGCGTGTAAGCGTGACACAAATCTGTAGCTTTGGTTACGGTCTGTGAGAGCTGCTGTTATCTGTGTTTGTAAGTCCATCCCTGCAGCGACTCCATAGACTCAGCAGGATGGCTGTTTAGTCGGCAGGGCTCATTTTGGCTCAACATTGATAAGAAACGAAAATATAAACTTCTCCTGAAACCGTGCAGAAGGCCCCAGACTCCAGATTGAACTCAAAGTTGTTGATAGCAGTTTTCATTCTGCATTATATGTTGGTTTCATGCTTCAGTTGCTGTTGATACATCTTTAAATGAAACCTTAGTAATACATGTTGTGAAATAAAAAAGCTGCAGAGTGAAAGCAGATATACAATGTTTACTAAAGACTTCAAAATAGAGCTTCGTGTCCCCCTGCTGGCTATACATAGGAACTTCATAACAAAAACTGCCCTGTTGGGTCGTGTTCATGTATATCTGTGTTTTCAGTGCAGAGACTCGTACCACACTGGCTCCCATGCTGGTCTGTCCACTGCCAAGCCATGGCATGGATGCAGAAATCTGCATCTGAGGGGGAGCGAAGGGGACGGAGCTCGGCTGGGAAATGTTGGTTTGAGAAGATCGATGGTCTATGTCATCAGAACTGTAAAACAAAACACACCCATACCCTGTCACTGAGAATGTTTTGTAGAGACGTGTAAAAGATACAGACAGGGTGTCAGAAGCTACAGTAAAGATATTTTAACATATTTTAACATCTCTGGCCAATATGATGACTACAGTATTTATATTCTATGTAGTCATAGAATGTAAATAAATACTGTAGTCATCATATTGGCCAGAGTACGATCAAAGAAAAAAGCGAAAAAAGTTGGAGAAGCGAACATTTTTTTTTTTTTTGTAAGCATATGCATTGTATTTTTACGTGTAATATATAGCATCATGCCAAATCTGGAAGCAAAACTTGAAATTATGATTCAAATTGTTTTCTGAGTGCAGACAAAGCTACCTACAGTCTGCCTTGAATCTCACCTGCGGGACTCCTTATCACAGTCGTCCCCTATCCAGGTGTAGGGCTGCACAGCCAGCAGACTGGACACATCCACCTCCTGGACGTCATGAGTGGAGGCTAGCACGATCTCGTTGGAGTTAGCCTGGATGCAGGGACAAGAATCAAGGGAATCTCAAGATTACAAGTGGACTTGGCAACCAATTCCAATGAATTAGTGTACACACAACCTACCCTATTGATGGCGAATGCCATGATTATATCTGACTCCTTATGAAGGATTTTAGCCTTCCCTCCAGGGTAGCCCAGATCTGCCTCCACCTGAAAAAGTCAAGAAAAACAATATATCAATCTTCAAAACGATGAAACTACAGTAGGGGAGTCAGGGCCACAAAGAGAAAATGTGAAAAATGTATGCATGTCTATTATTATTATTATTAATATTAATATCTATTATTATAGATGTACATAAACATTGTTGGTGTTGAGTTTTTTATCAAGGATCCCCGGTGACAACACCTTCAACAGTTAGCGAGCTTTACATAGCCCTGACAGTGAGCATGCAAGTTAGTGAGTCAAATATCTTAAGGTTCTTTTTTCCATTTGAGCCAGCAGATTGAGTTTGGAAAATGGAGCGAGGAACACAGGGAAGTGTTAACAGTGGGGATTGGATGTGAGGTTCTGTGAGTGAAAGTTCACAGGTGCCCCCGCAAGAGTGAAAGATAAGACGTTAGATTTGATAGACTTCCCAGAGCAGTCACTATCAGGCCAAGCTGGGGAGGAGACATCAAGAGCTTCACCCAGTTTGGTGCTACTTCCAACCACAACATGCTAACCCTGTGCAAAGAGTGCACCATCATTATTTTAGATTATTGCTCCTTCAAGCTTGGCTGTACAGTGACTGTAACAGACAGACAGAAGGACAGAGGCAGGGCCTGAGTTGCTGCAGTAAGTGATACTACCTTATAGGGACTGCTAGCTCCTGCTATGCAGTTTGGGCTTATACGGTCCATATGGTTCTCTACAGACTAAACGACACACACACCAACACGGCACAACACAAAACACATGCACAAACACATACAAATGAAACATGGAATGAAAAGTAAATGTACAAATGTTGACAGGATCTTTAATGTATACACAGGGATAAAATGGAACTCTAAACATAGACCACCTAAGTAGCATGGAGCTACAGGCATGTAGCATGAATAATGGAGAAATGCACTACAGATCTAACGGGTTCACTTTGATTTAAAGTAATCTGGTTTTGTAATAATAAGAAATGTAGCATCCCGGACCTTAATCCCAGGATTTTGTAACAGTCTGTAATGCAAGATTAGATAATAAGAAATAGTTCCAGACTTGATTTAAGATGAAGGAGAAAAAGCAATGATAATGGTAACATGAAGGATTGAGATACATGGGTAAACTCCTTGGTATCTCATGGGGAGGTGAAAAAGTAAAAAAAAACAATATGGTGTTGATATTAACTAACATGACTTGTGAAACAAAACCATACAAGCAGACGTTTTTTTATAAGCATGTGAGCTGCTCACCTCACTCTGCTTCCTTTTCTTAGTGAAGATGTAACGGATCAAAGTCTCCTGAAGAACTTCCTGTTTGACCAGGAAGTGCCAAAGACGTCGAGCTGGAAAAGACTGATGGTTCTTTGTCCTGAGAAAGATATAGGGACAAAAATAATTAGGTTACATATAAGTGTATCCACTAAAGGGTCTCATGTCATACAATATGATACAGTATACACAACATGCAATGTGTCACTGAGTATTATTGATATGAAAAGGTGAAATGAAGTAAAACATTTTTAATATTGTTTTGTTTCGCTTTTTCTTTATAATTTGATATGAACCACGTGTGCTGTTGTCACGTAAATTACTTGTGAAATGTCAGTAAATCTTCCTCTTGGGTACATCATCTAGGCCCCTGAGCTGCACTAAAGTCGTTATCAAGCATGACTTGGCTTGTGTTAGTATTGCAGTAGATCAATTCTTGCTAAAGTAAAGGACGTGAAGTGTTAATGTAAAATAAAATGTATGTGTTGTTGTTAAAACGTTAGCGTACGCAGCCCTCGTGTGTGTACTCATGATTATATGTTTGTATAATGCATATGATTTAATGCTCACTTGAAGGGTGTGTTTTCTGGTTCCAGCATGGCCTTGTGTCGGAGTATGGCGGGGCCCCCTCCTGCACTGAGGTCAGTAGGGAAAGTGTTGATGTAGTTGGGAGGCGGAGCGTCAAACTTGTTCATTCGCTCCAGCAGTAAGTGCTCCCAATTCTCTAAAGTCTTCAACACAGCGTTGCTGAGAGGGGAGGTGACCGGCAGGTCTGTGACACAAACACAATCATTGGCTTATCGATGTTTCTATTTACACATAACACAGTAACATATTAAAGTCTCGTTTTTCTGTATTTCATATTTAAGTATTTGTTTAGGAGCAAAGCTGAGTGTGTACCTGTGAAGTCGAGGCCTGTGAGTGGGAGGAAGTTCTTGACGTTATGATGAGCCAGCTTCACCATCACCAGGCGGATCAGAGACCAGCTACATATCACACAGACAGACAAACAGAAAGTTTACATTTAAAAAGCAAAGGATACAAATTAGGCCTCAGAGAAACAAAAGAGGATGAGCCCTACCTGTAGGAGTTAGGGTCAGAGTGCTCTGTCATCTGAGTGTCAGAAAGAAATGCGTCGTCATCGTCTTCATCGTCGTCTTCTGCGCCGCTTTCGTCCGAGTCACAAAGAGCGTTGCTGTCTGACAGCGGCAGGAAGGGCTGATAATGAGAAAAGAGATAAAGCAAATAAATAGGGCAGATAGCCAAGAGAGTGAATGAGGAATAACTTTGAAATAACCTGTAGAGTATGAGTCACAGGTCTCATTAGTCGATATGTAGAATTATATGCATTACCTTGGCCACAAAGTAGTCCCACATGCTCAGCTCGGGCGGAATGAACTTCTCCCTGTAGGCGGGTCTCTCTGTGGGCAGAGGAGGGGGGGTCGCTGGCGTCTCCTTCACAGGGCGTCCAGGAACGAGCATCCTCATGTTGAACCTACGTCTGTATCGGTCCCCATCCTCTGCTGCGGGCTGAGGGGGAGCAACTGGGGGAGGAGGACAACGAAGAGATGGTATCTTTCAAACACAATAAACTCTGAAAAGGTCAATTTGCAGCAGATCGCAGTATGCTGCAGTTTCGTACGAATAATGAAGATAAGCTGAGACTCAGCATCATTTTAAAGCCACAAGAAGGTCAAGAAATTGATCTGGAGAAGGAGAATTAAACCCTTTTTTGAGCGCAGTACACACTTTAAATCACGACAGAGCTGGAATATGAAAAATTAAAGTCACAATGAGTAGGATTCATTTAAAAACAATGTGTATTTAAACATCCATCCATGGACATAATACGTCTAAATGATACTTTATGACCCACTGTGACGGTTTCTGTAAAAGAAGAAAATATGCCCCCTGTTCCAGATCGTTAGCATGCATCTAAGAGAAAGCTTCGATAAAGACAGACAAAACTCGCTTAAAAACAAGAATTCAATCTGGTGTTTTCCATCATCCCTTGGTGAACACCGTAAGACTTTTTGGGTTGAGGAGTAGAGGGCAACTTTGAATGTTGTGTTGACAAACACTAACCGAAAAATCCTACTCAGAAAGATAGTTGATATCTAACAATCCAAACCGTTGGCTTTCACTTTAAAAGTCCATGGCCTTTCCTTTGTCCTGGCTGGAAAAGTGTCTGTTTATTTTTTACAGAGCCAGGCCTGTGTGGGATTCTTTTGCACCACTTCCCCAAACGGACAGTTAGCATCCTGTGAGGAGGTGGTCTCTCTATTTTTTGTATTGGATCAGAAACGTTGAACATCAAGCCTGTCTGAAAACGAAACTGTCTCCAATTGATCTTGACATAGCACACAAAAGAAAATAGATACAGTAGGAAAAGAGATTCAAATGCAGAAGTACAAACGTTTAGGATCGAAGCACAGGTCAAGACACACTAGATTGAGCACAAACCTGCCCCATTATCCAGGGTGACTATCTCACCAGACAAAACAAGACAAGACACAAACCAGAAGAGACAGTGCAGTTAGACAATATGTGATTAAGTGCCTTGCACAGAAAACACAAAGAACATATCAAACGACGATAGCAAATTTGTTGCGCAGTCATGTGCTAAGCTTTTTTTGTTGTACCCACAGCACTCGAGAGGCAAACACAATGAAATTGGTAAATGTTTTTTCTTTCTAATGATGTTAATTGGAACATGATAAGGACATCTGTTTATGGCTGAGTGTTTGAAACATGCATGTCATTTTACAGGGGCACTCAAAAGGGAGTTTTAGCACTTGGAAAGAGATGTTTATCAACAGGCTGACATTTAAGATCCCCCTAAGCAACTCTTCAAAAGGCTCTTGGCTTTGGTGAGAGCTATCCCAGTCTCTACAGTGATATTGAGTGTAAATGCCAGCCCTTGTCTTCCTCCCCCACAAATACAATGTGAGCACAAACTACTTTAGCCTAATGAATATGAATGAACAGTGTCAAGTTCAGTCCACAGACTCAATTTCTACATATCTAGAAATCGGATACAGACAAAAGCTACTATTAGTCTATCATTTAGTGAATACCTCTACTACATACATTAACGCTAGTCAAATCACATTATTGTTAAACATCTAATGCTAGAAATGGGACAAAACAGTGAGGCAGCTCCAGCCCTACAGTAGCATGTCTAATAACCTCTCAAGGTGTACCTGGTTTAATCTCAGATTCAGATTTATTCTGAGACGGGTGCTCAGCCTTGGCCTCTGAACACTCCTTGCTAGGCCCAGCTGTTGCTTTGATGGAACAATAGGGAATGACACAATGAGATGAGCATAGAGGACGTTACAACATGTACATGCAATGCAGGACACACACAAACAAACACTCTCACACAGACACACAAGTGTTGGCTTATCATAACACTGAACACAGATGACAATGTGTTTGTAGCACTAGTGAGCTGTTTTTTTATTATGGGCATTCAGTAGTAGTTGCACGAGAGAGAGTGGGGTAAGTCAAGCATCTGCAACAGTGCAAACCTGTACAATAACCATGCACTGCAATCCTGCAAACCAGCACTGCAATCCACCAGCCCAGTTACTCACAGCTGGCCTTAGTTGCTGGTGCCACAGTGCCCCACCCTTCTCCCCTTGAAACGGGAGGAAGGGGTCGTTTGGGGCGCTGGGTGTCAGTAGGGATGGGGGTGGGGTTAGGGGTGAGGCTGCTCTGCTCAGGTCTTCCTGCCTCTTGAGAGTCCTCTGGCCTGGCTGCCTGAAAATCAGCTGGCACTGGGACACAGGGCAGAGGACACACTAGCACAAGACACTACACAGCAGCAGCAGCAGCAGCAGGAGCATCTTAGGAGCATCAACAGGAGAGGACTGGGTGTATTTATGGGACTGTGCAGACAGGTCTGAGGAATGGAAGCATTGTCTCAGGTCAGAGAAAGTCAACATATGGATTAGAGGAGGACAAGAAAAGAGTCTAAGGACAGGGACAGAATATGAAGACTAGGGAAGAAGACAAATGGCGGTGATAATGGAGACAAAAAAAAAAAGTAGTAGTAATCACAATCTGAATAAAATCATATCTCTACCTGGTGGGGCCTCGGGCCTCTTTGGCTTAATAACGAGTTTGGCCCCTCCCCCAAACACAGCAGCCCACATGCGGTTGTTGAGCGGGTGTGCTGCCAGGCGGAACAGTTCATTGCTGCTGTGAGTGCCCAGGCCGTGGATGAGCAGTGCCAGATAGACAGCCATGACCCCTTCACACAGCAGCACGTTGAGCCGCGGCTGGCCCTCCTCTCTGGCAGACGTCAACAGAGAAATCAGGGACGACACACCTGCAGAGAGAGGACACACATGCACAATACACAACGTGGCATTTTCAGAATATCAACATGTTAAAAAAAAACGTCTACATCAGAGCAAGACACTATCTCTGCAAAATATAGAACACATTTATGAAACATTTGCATGATGGCGTGATCAGTCTGTCTTTTCGTTTCCTTCCCAGAGGCCATGAAGCTCCGATTATAGAACACCATCTGCCTCTCTGCATAAACACAGACTGCCTGCTTTGCTCTGCCCTTCCTCTGCTTTTCATATTCTCTCTTAATCATGTCTTTGATGCTCACACATATCCTTTCTATGTATTTTGAGAAGATTCTGGCACTTATTTAACTTGCCTTCAATCTCATTAAAACAGTTCTTGAGAGTATTAGGACCAACATGCAAAGGAAAAACCATCCCCTGATTGCAGAATGTGTGTTGTTTATTTTAAATATGCCTGTTGTACAGAGTGTTACTCAATATAACTCAATAATGGAAAGCGTGTGGCGCAGTGGGCTAGTGCGTTGGTGTTGGGATCAGGGGAGCACAGGTTCAAACCCCACGGCAGTCAGCATGTCGTTGTATCCCTAGGCAAGACACTTCCCCCAAATTGCTCCTTCGGGGATTGCCCACAGTATTGAGTATGTAAGTCGCTTTGGATAAAAGCGTCTAGCAAGTAACATGTAATGTAATAACCCCAAAAGGGTAAAGCAAGGACCTTGTTACCTGGCCACTGTGCAGGAGCAGAGTTGGGAGTCACATGTTCTTCAATGCTTTCTGTGCGGAGTCGCTTCCTCTCACTGAGCAACAGGCCCTGGTACACCATCCCTGTAAACTGGTTGGCCTCCGACTGGCTGCTGCGAGGCCAAAAACAGCAAGGTTAACCGTAAGTCACATTATATACAAGGCATATACAGTATGTTCAACATTTTTAACACAACATAGAAATGTGCTTTCTTTCCTAAAATAAGATGATCTCTTGGTTGTGTCTCCTGTCACAACCAAACAGGGTGTTGTCAAGAGCAAATAACCCAACATGTTTAGTAACTATTTTCATTTGGAAATGACAGGGTCTTTGAGTAAGGAAAAGGAGCAGTGAGAAGGAACCTTCAGTAATTCATCTTTTACCTGTAGCTGTGGCTGTCACACAGTGCTTGATAGATGCAGGCAGACAGAGAAGCTGCTAACGTGTGCAAAGTATTCACCTGAAGAGGAAAGACGGACACATTTCACTTAATAAACAGCAAAACAAACATCAGATAACTGTGAAAAAGACGGCATGATCTAAATGTAGTCTTCAAAAAAGACAGATTCTTATTTGAACCCTGACCTGATCATCTATGATGTCAGGATGCGGCGGGGTCTCCAAGAGGTTGACGGTGTGGAGGATGTCGTGAATGTGGTTGCTGAGGTGGAGAACTGGATTGGCTATGACCGTCTTGGTGGTAGCAATGCAGGCTGAGAGCAGAGGCAGTGTAGTGGGCAGAGGCAGAGGAGACTGCAGCTGCTTCACTGTGGTCTCCTACAGAGGGAAGCAGGATTACATTTGATTCTGTTAAAGAGAAGTCACTTTACATTTAATCTAGGTGAGGAAAATAACATGTGTTGATGTGTACAGTACCTGCTGGCTCTCCTGCAGAAGGAAGAGAAGCTCCATGCGAACAGAGGTAACTCCTCCTCCCTTGGCTCCATGAAGGCTACAGTAGGAGAGAAACACCCTCAGCAGGGCCTGGTTCTTCCTCAGCCACGCTTTACGCCTCTCAGAGTGCTGCTGCTTGGCCTGAAGGCGGCGGCGCTCCATCTGGTGACGCTCGTAGGTCCCAGTCTCTGTACGATCTATGGTGTCGTCTGGTATGTCCACTGATGCTGTTCGCTCTCTCCAGCGCTCCACATCTAACTCTTCCTCCTTACCCTCCACCTATGTGTTCACAGAATGTTGACAGATAAAGTTTTCTAATATCTATGTTCAAGCCAATATCAAGTTGCCTATATGTAATTCGGTACCACTTTACAATAAGACTACCCTTATAAAGGCTTCATAAAGGGTTTATAATGATGTCATTAATTAGGTTGTAAACACTTGATTAATCATTAAGAACCATCTATAAACCAGTTCTAACACGGGCTCACTATTTGGCAAGATGACTAAGCTTTATATTGGCCAGGGAGCCTTATTGTAAAGTGTAAAACACATTCCCATTTATTTATGAGTTACTAACATTTCTAATAAGGCTTAGCAGTACAGATAAATGTTGGCTCACTATTTGGCAAGCAACCGGTCACAGTTGCCCTGTTTATCTCATGTCTTATAAAAGTGTATTAATGATTTATAAAGTGTTCACAACCTAATTAATAAATGAATTACAAACTATTTGTAAACCCTTTATAAGGGTAGTCTTATTGTAAAGTGGTACCTGTAATTCTTTCAATTTGTACCTTATAGTTGCAGATCGTATGCATGGCTGCTATCTCCTTCTCCAGCCAACTGTAGAGCTGAAAGCGGAGCTTCCCTCCATCCACCTCGAAGCCTGTGGCCAGCGTACGCAGCTCTGTCATCAGGATCTTCAGACAGGCCCGGAACTTCAGCTGCTCCGCTATCACGTCCACCTCCGACTCCCCCTTAGATACATGACAGAGTTATAGAAAAGGGGGCCACACTCTGCAGAATGGCTGACCTAAAGAAGATATATATTTTCTTATGAACCAAGTTTTAGAATTAATTATATTAAGGAGCTTTCAGGAAAATACTTTAAGATGGATTACAGGGTTATACAGTAACTAGGGCAAAGATTGAGGTCTTAATGCATGTATGGTCTTTTAACACACTTCAACAGCTCCTGGCCCAGCATTATGCCGGTTCAGCTACCTATGTCTGAGATGTAAAATCCAATATCGTTTAATTTAAATGCACAGATTCTGGATGTGAAAAAGACGATGTCCCTGAATCCCAGTCAGTAAAGACACTGTCCAAGGCCAGCACATGTCCTCACATGACACAATCAAACAGTCTTTGTGTTTGTTATTGTAGGAGGGACAAGTTTGAGTTCATAAAATAAAGAAAAATTATGAAAAACTAAATGTATTTCTTTGTCATTTTCTTTTAGAGTATTCTTAAAGTAGAGAATATTAAATGTTTTGGGTAAGCATAATCATGATATCCTTTAACCATTCAAGTATGGCTTATAATGAATTCCATATATATTATTACTACCTGTGAGTCCGCTCTCTGCAGATTGGGGTCCCCACTCTCTGAGCCTCCGACCGCTTTAGTCTCAGCCTCTGGCTTCTTCATGGTCAAACCGTCATCATCCTCATCTTCATCATCTTCCTTGTCCGCCCCCCAGTCCAGCTTCAGGTCATCTTCATCCATCTTGACCAAAGGCTGGTTCCAGTCTAACCCACCTGCACTCTCATTTCCACCCCAGGCCTCGGCCGGGGGTGCAGGGGAGCCCCAGTCCACGCCTCCCTGGGTCCCATTCTCCATAGGTTGGGTGGAGTTTACGTTGGCTTTGGATGAAGCTTTGCTTTGAGGCGAAGAGCCAGATTTCTTAGTAACTTTGGGAATCTTGGAAAGCACTTCCAGAGCCAGAACTGGACAGCCCACCTACAGAAGATTTAGATATGGTTAAATCAATGTCTGATTGCTTTTTACTAAAACATTTGCAGATGTTCTTATGTATTTGTAATAAACATGTATCCGTCTTGAAAACAACCATAATAGGAGAGAAAGATTAAAGAAAACAAAAAATGTGTTAGATTGAGTGACCCAATTATTGATGAACCCACCTTGAAGTGTGCGTTGGCAGTAGTGAAGAACAGTTTGCGCTCTATAAGGTTGATCTCAATTGCGCTGCTCTTCTCAGCACTGAGGCCCACAGTCACTGCGGTGCCATCTGGAATTGCTAAGTGTCGACGGATGATCAAAGGGTGTGTCCTCAGGTAGTTATAGAAACTAAACACCACCGGGTTGCAAGCTTTCACCATCACATCTAACACAGAGGGATGACAGAAAGGAAGAGGAAGAAGACAAATCTCTTTAGCATAGCTTACAAGTAGCTTACAATCAGAATAAAAGGTTTGAGTGGATCTGTTTAATACTGTAATGTCAGCAGCCAACTGACCAGGGTTCTCATCATCCTCTTTGGGGGTTCGTTCCAACAGTGTGTCCAGCGCTCGGGTGTAATCTTTCATGATCCAGTAGGCTATGCTGCGGAGGAATGGGTCGGGGTGCAGCCTGGAACAGTGGTACCCACTACCGTCCCTGTTACAGCCCAGGACCTTCTCATGCAGGAGGCCTTGGCAGGTGGAGGAATTCTCAAAGTCAGCCTCATACAGCCTTGCTACGATCATGGCTAACTGGATATCCTCCATCTTCTCCATCAACACCTACAAAACATGGAAGAGCAAAGGAGAGTTAAGACTTGGTTAAAACTGCTGTTGTAAGAAAATCTAAATAGGTAGGCTTAAAAGCAAAGGGATTTTGGGAACGTTATATCCACTGCAACAAATAAATGGAGCCGAAGAAGAGCTGATGCTTCTATTTCCTTTTTTGGCTGTCTGATTATATGCTTATTATGACTGTGTGATATGAATATCCAGACCAAAGAAAACGATGAGGACCTTTTATGCGTCTTATCAGTGTAATTTAGACTTCTCTCTTGTGATTTAAAGGTTGCAAAATAAACAACTCTCTATTAACAGATATCCACACTCTTAGGGATGTAGTGGCTCAGCTCACACAGACACACTTTCACACTTTTTGTTGTATTTCCATAAAACAAGGCTATGCACAGTTTGGAGCAGACTCAACAGTGAAAAGCTGTCTGTGTATTGTGTGTGCTTTTGAGTTTGCACATGTGTGTTCACACCTCTATAGCATCTTTCAGTGATCCAGCCAGTAGGAAAAAGGCAGCGGACTGTTCAAAGCGCTGCTTTCCCAACAGGGAGAAAGCATTTTTCAGTGCTGCCTTTCGCCAGCGGTCTTCACTGAAGTTGTTCTTGAAAAACTGAGTCATCTTGTCATCATGCTGAGACCTGAAAGAATAAAACCATCCAGCTCATCAAAGTTTTGTGTGAAACATTATTGAAATGAAACAATAACTACATTTAAGATGTAATAATGTGCGCGGAAACAATGCATTACCTGAAGAGCCCCCAGAGGACAGCTTTTTTCTTCATGGCCAAGAAGAACAGAGCAGCATCTAAAGGGTCGTTGTTTCTCTGGAATGCAGCTTTACCTATCTGAAAACACACAAACGACACCGTCAATCAATAATCCCACTGTCCCTTAGTTGCTGTAAGGATGTTAAATGTACTTCAAAGACATCAAAACACTCCTGTTAGCTACTCCTATTTAACTACTGTTATAGACCTATGTACAATTACTGTAGGCTTTGCTCTTTACAATAAGCTAAGGTGGATTTACAACTATGTACAACACACTGGTTAGTAGAGAATGCTTCTTTCCGGATACAATACCTGTTACTGCTTTTACATTTTGCAGTCAGTAGTACAGGGGGCCTACAGATTTACATCTAAAACTTTTATTGATTTGTCTTTATTTTGTTGAGACATGCTGGTGAATGGCCAATGGCAATGTTCTGACTGACTGCATCATACTGTTAGGTTTCATGTTTCTGGAATCCAGTAGAACTCCACAAAGTACAAAAAAAAGACTTGAACAAACCAACCCCTCTCAGACGCAGTATCAGTTATCATTTTAAAGGATGTATTAAATTCTCATGTGTACATGTTTTTGTAGACAATCCATCCCAACCTGCAGAACATTCTGTAAGTGCTCTCAAATGTCACAGTTAGCTATGTTGTCCTGTGCAGTCTATATTTTATGTATCTGTTGTATCACTTTCATCGTTTTAGAAGCTGTCAATGTTGTGTGAATCTATCTGTCAAGGTACCTTTTCCACCATTTTCCGAAGGGTGTTAATGTTGCGTATCCACCACCCCGCTCCAACAGCTCTGAGCTCAGACCACTGAGGGTCTCCTCTCTGCATGGCAGGGATCATGTTCAGCTGCTCTTCTTCTGCCTCTGAGTGGAAGGCCCATGCAAAGTGGCATGTTGACAGGCCTGCCAGAGGTAGATAGGGAGGGAAAGAGCATGATGTCTGAAGTGTATTCCCAAAATTAAATGTACCAGAGATATATATTCTATTAACACCAACTTTGACATACTAGTGGGATATTGTATCATACAGAACAACATGTAATATGTGTGTGACAGCAGCAGTGTAATGAGCAGTGTGGTTTACCCTGGTGGAGCAGCTGCATGCGGTAGAGCGGGGGCAGGGAGGTGAGCAGGCAGGTGTGAAGACGCATGGCCAGCAGGTACCGCAGTCCACACTCATCGAGAGCCTCGCCACCTACACAAACACCACACCAGGGAGCTGTCAGCTTTTGTCATTGTTATTCCACAGTTGGCAGTCTCAAAGCAAAGCCCTTTGAAACTCCAGTATCACTTCAGTTCATGCATCCTGTGAGAGTCTATGTCTACTGTCCCTGAACCATCTTACCCTCTTTGTCCTTACTTAGCCCTGGAACAACTTAGGCCTGGAACAACCTGCTAATGTCTTCCTCTGAAAAGACTAAATAAAGAAGGACTGAAAGTTGGATAAAACAGACAGGAAAAGGAGGAACAGTATAGGCATTGTTGTTTATGTGATTAAAACATTGATGGCTGGAGATGAATTTGATCTATAAACACAGGAGAAATAAAATGTTACTTTTTTTATGTCTCTAACTCTTAGACAACTTTCATACAATCTCTTAGCAAGGGTAACAATTAATGGACTGCTAGACATTAAGGCGTCCAAAATGCAAAATTACATAACAAAGCTTATCTGCAAGTATAAGTGCATAGTGGATCTAAAGAATTGAACACAAAATACAGACCAATTGCTTTGTCTCCTTTGTGGTGCAGGGAATGATCCCCCTAAAAATCTCATTTCAGAGAAAAAAGATTATTCCTGCACATACTTTGCTCGAGACATATCAACAATCAAAGATGTATTGTTTACATGTCTTCAGAAAGGTCCTTGTAACAGGATTATACTCTTTCTTTGACTAAATCAATGTAATTAAATAAAAGTGTGCGTGGGAATTACCCTTTTTCTCTGAAATTGCATCTCGTATTTTACATATTTAGCATAATGGTTGTCTTGTAAGTTGTCCTCCTCCCTGTCAGCTGAGAGCGTAAGGACTGCTGCAGAATAAATTCTTGCACATGAGAAAACTTCTAAAGGTTAATGCGTGGATCTCTATTGTTGAATGTCACATGAATGTAAAACTGGATATTAACAGATGAAAATGGCATACATACATATAATAACTCAAAAACTAAAATGATTTAAAAAAAAACAGTTGTGTGGACAATAGAAAAAAAAGACAAGAGGTCAGCAGTCCCCAACCCCAGTAAACCTTGGTGTAGTGGGATATATTTACTTTGTGTTATTACATGGACTGTACATATCACAGATATATGCGGTAACCAACATATATGCTGACCTGTGTACTTCTGATCGGTGGAGCTGGTGACCTCAGCACTGGTGGTTGCAACAGTATCAGACAAGGCCACCAGGAACATCTGCTCCAGTCTGGTGAGTCCCGGGAGGCTGGAGTGCATGAGGTGACTGGACAATACCTGGAAACACAAAGGAAAAGAAAAGAGAAACTTGATGATGATATCGTACTGATGACATTTTGTAATTATTCGACATTTCGTTAAATATATCACAGCGTTAATATTGCCCTATTATACATTTAAATGTTCAAAACAATACTCTCACATCCACGTTGAGAGAATATTAGTTTAAAATAACCACATTATGTGCAGATTAGGTTTATTACCATGTTTTAGTTGTCATGTTTTCTCTTCTTTATTACACTCTCCCTTAACAACCCAGTTGCAATACAAAAAAAGATTACAAATATGTGACCTGCTCTATCGAAATCAGTCGCATTGACCCTAATACATATTTTGAGTTGTATACACTGCTGGAAAGAGGATATTCCTAGCTTTCTAATGATATCAGGATTGTTTTTGTACTCCAAATATTAAGCGAAATATGTCACATTATATAATGACTGTCACCGAGTCATCATTTTGAGAAAAAGGCCTTCAAAGTTTTCTCTTCTCTGGAATCCATCGATCTGATTGATTATTAGCGGAGCAAATGATCAAAATACTACGGAGGGAAGATATTTTCGTTTGGATTACTGGTCTGGGGGAAGCTCGCGAGTGTGTGTGCGTGTGTATACGTGTGTGTGTCTTTGTGTAATTTTGCGTTTGTGTGTATTGCGTTTGTTTCCCGGGGAAAACCCTCACGAGAAACACCGGCTGTTGTTATGCCTGCTTTGACGTTAAATTACTCCGTTCTCCGCTTGTAATTATGCCGTTACAAGCTTCAAAGTTGTATTTATCATCTAAATTTGCCGAAACAAGTTTAATATTCTGAAAGCCAAGACTTTGTTTAATTGAAATCAGATGAAAACAAACTGTAACGGACCCTGCCGTGTTATTTATGATTACTCTACGCTTACATTCATAATGTCAGCCGGAGGGAGGGGGGGCGGCGCTGCGGAAGAGCAGATTGCCTTTCATCTTCCCTTTACAAGCTTCAAGAATGTATTTATCGTGTGAGTTTGGAAATAAAAGTGTCATATTCTGAAAGCCAAGACTTTGTTTGTTTAAAATCCAACAAAACACCCGAACCCAGAAAAAATTGTTTTTTACGCAAATCCACGTTTACTTTGAAATGAGCCGTTGCGACTTCCGACTGATTTCGATAGAGCGGGTCACATATTTGTTGAAATATGTTATATTAACTTCTTTTGATTTTTTAGACATACTGTATCTCCCTAAATTCAATAAAGCAATACCTGAGCATGCTCCGGTCCAAAGTAGGTAGGTCCATATTGAGAGAGGTTGATAACTCGAGACTTTTTCTCTGGTTTGTCAGTGGCAAAGTTCACAAAATCATCTGTGGTGACCGCTTGCATCTGTTTACACAGGAGAAAAGGAGTCAAATCAATCAGCGGACTAAATCTTTAATTACTAAATAAGAGCTCTCCTCACTATACCAACCTGAAAGAGGTCTGAATATTGGTCTTCTGCGGACTTCTGGGACCCCTCACCGTCGCCCCCCTTAGCAGCTTCTTCCGCTCCCTTGTACGAGGTGTCCAGGTCAGCCAACATGAGGGAGTAGAGAGGCAAGGGGGGGATGGAGTTGATCTCTGTGTAGTCCCTCCCCCCATCGCGGCCAGCCACTATGGTGTCTTTGGCTGTGCTGCCGGTCACACTGATGGTCCGGGACAGATGTCTCCTGGATCCACCCTCACCTGCCTCCACATCCCTCACCACTGCCACTTCCCCAGCAATACATTTCACCAGGTGAGCGAGGATGGCCTAAGATACAGAGGATTAACGGGTTATACAGCGTATACAACACAGTGGATCTGCTAGATCCCCACAAACCAGATTCCTGTTTGTGAGTGTCTGTCATCATCATTATATGCAGGGGTGCACACAACTTTCTCAGTGAGGTACTCAGATGAGTACCTGGAGTCAGTGTTTGGTACTCCAACTTCTGGCTCCCCTCAAAGTTCCCATGAAGCCCTCTGTATCGCGAATGTCAGCGGGGGGAGAGTGCAGAGCTTCATGACCACAGAGCGTGTGAACGTTGTGATCAGCTGTTTTAGCGCAGTGCTGCTGTACAGACCGACGTTAACAGCAGCCCTGTCTGTGCACACGGAAACCGACTCTGTCGTCCGGTGATCAAACCACCTTCTGGAAAAGCTTCACAAGTACGTTGGTACGCAAATGCGCTTTATGACACAAGTGACGGTACGCATTTCAGATTGTTGCCGCGCATGCGTACCTGCGTACCACTTATGTGCACCCCTGATTGTATGTTAATCTAAGCCAATTGAACTTGAAATAAAAATGTTGCCTATTTTGGGGTCACTAAATGAGGCCTGAACAGACTCACCTTGGCACGGCGAACCTTGCCCAGGTCCATGAGCTCCAGCAGCTGGGTGGGATGGTACTGGGGTAGAGTCGGAGAAAGGGAGTGAGCTGCTTCAAACAGTCCCCCCTCCTGAAGTCCTGCTGGGGCACGAAGGGCCTCATCCACTGCAGCAGCTCCTGCGGCACTCCCTTCAAACACACTCTTAGATCTGGCTCTCCCTTCAAAGACCGAGGAGGTTGTGTTTTGACCACCGGCAATGTCTGCAGACGATAGGTTGCCCTCCTCTCCATCCCCAGCCTTCTTGTCCTGGTGCCACTGGGCGTACACATGCATCTCACAGTCCATGCCCACCACCAGGATGCCGTCCCTCACCCAGGACAGGGAGACTGGCAGAGACGGTGTGCCGTCCACAGAGGACAAGAGGTCCACAGACCGAAGCAGGATCCAGCGTGAGCGGATGCCCTGCTTGATACTGCCCCCTAGAGGAAGGGTGATGACAGCTACTCCTTCCTTGCTGCTTGTCGGCTCATTGACGACGCCAGAGATACGGCCGTACATGAGAATGTTGGATCCAACGCCCACAGTGAGGATGTGAGATCCGTCCTCCTTTGAGAGCCAGTCCAAGTGTACGTAATGCTTAATGTTGGGGGAGCTGTGGTCTCTGGTCATGTACAGGTCAGACCTGGCGCAGAGATAGACGCATTATTACCTTTTAATATAATGGTACACATACAAAGGCGGACAGAATATTAAACAAACAAGCAGTGCCTTACTTACCTGCTGTAGACAAAGAGGTTGGAGTCCACACTGACTCTTGGATCCAGGGTTGAACAGGGTCTGGTAAAGTCATCCAGGTGGAGAGTTTGCTCTAAAACCCACTCTGAGCCTCCAGTAGATTCACACTCATAGATGGACACGTGCATGGAGAAGTCCTGCCCAGAACCCTGCAGCTGAGGACAAGAGGAAAGCTTTTTAAAATGTCTGATTTCTGAGAACATTTTAAATCTGAGGACACTGGACATCTGGATAACCAGGCCTGCTGTAATTGTAATAAGTCAACTGAAAACCAGATTCTAAGCCTGTTCATAGACTTCAAATCAGTGTTCAATAACATCCAGCTCAACACACCTCAAAGACAGAGTAGCAACAGGATATGCAATTAGATCCTCAGATAGTCATGTTTTATCATTTCCTTTTCCCTAATGGCTAAATACGACTGGCACATATTCAAATGCACTGTGGTGTGTAGTGTGCAGGGGCGGACTGGGACTACAAATCAGCCCGGAACTCTCGACCGGCCCACTTCGGTATCACCGGACCACCTTGGTACCGCAAGTAATTACCGCTAGTAAATTGTCAACGGGGGGGGGGGTGCTAGTGACTTCTCCGACCGGCCCACTTCAGTACCGGCCCATCGGGATTCGCCCCTGATAGTGTGGATAATGTATTTTCGTCTTATCTACTTCCTACCCCACCATCCTTTGCTCCACATTAACACCTATTCATAATTTAATATATGGAATTGTTATCTATTTGTAGATGATTCAGGCTATAACGTCAATTTGTGTTTATTCACTGCATTTCCATTTTTAATGCAATTTTGTTATCCTCAAGTTGATTGCCATTAAATGAACTCCCAGCTCTCTATAGGTTTATGGTACTTCACACCTTAAACCAATTGTTAAGCCAAATGCAAGTTTCCTACCTGTCCTGGTCGTGGCTTTTTAAAGGCCGTGGCCAGCCTGCCGATGTAGGAGCAGGACACAGCAACAGGACGCCCAGGAACGCACACAGCACTGTTGTTGTCTTCCTCCTCGTTCATCAGAGCCCAGGGCTCCCAGCGGTACGTACGGGTGTCCTGGTCATCCTCGCTGTACCCCTCATCCCCCTCCACAGCACAGCGCCAGAAACGCACCCGAGAGTCAGAGCAGGTGGTGACAATCAGGTACGGAGCCAGGCATACAGGGTAGATAGAAGAGGAACTCAGATGACCTAACAGAGGAAGGGGAGGCAGAGACATTTGAAAATATGTTCTACGTTTATTGCACGAATCTGATTTATTGAATTTTACACAATGTATGAAAAATAGAGGTTCAGGTACTTCTTTTAATCGGCCTGACCTGACTTAAATATGGATACTAAGGAAATAAAGCACCTTTGAAATTGAATTTTCTAATCGAATTGTCAACATAACTCAAAAATAAATACACAATTTTGGCCCCATGTAGCCAAGTCAACATTGGAACCAAAAGAGGGTTTTACGCTTTGCTGTTTATTTGGCAACAATAACATGGTGAGAGAGTTATTTGTGACAACTGTGTGCCCATCCTAACCTGCAGAGGGGGTCGCCCTGGTAACCTCCACCCCGTGGGGAAGGTGGAGCCGCTTGCTGTACACCAGCTTGGAGCTCAGGATGAGTTTGCTGGCTGATTGCAAGTTGGCTGTAGAAGATGAGCGAGGCAGGGGTCTAATAGGTGAGGTCTCCGGAGACGAGTCAGGATTCAAACTTTGATTGGGAACCATCAGTTGGCTCTGGAAGCTGAAATCTGGGCTTGGCTCATCTGCAGACAGAGACGTAGGAATATTAAAGCTGGTCTTCATATCAGTTAAGACGTTTGATGTAGATCCACATTTAAAATCCTTGTGTTTATGCTAGTAAATATCCTACCAACACAGGCCTGCACAGACTTGAGGTGCAGGTGCCACATCTGCAGGACTGAGTTCCTGTTGAGATCCTTTTCTATCACCACCAGGAAGAACTTCTCAGAGAATGGGGCAGGTTGGTAATCTGGACATAGTAAACATTACATTCACTTTTTCTAATGACAATCAGCTTTGAATACAATTGAAGTTTGAAAGGGTGCTATACCTTCACCAGATGGAAAGGCCGGTGTGAAATCTTCTGTCTCTTTCTGAGGCTTGTAACCTAAAATGAAGTCCTCTTGAAAGACATGCAGCAGCTGAGTGTTGGAGCCACACTGGATGCACATGAGAAAAGCACAAAACATGTTAATACATCTATAAATCAGAAGCTTTCAGGATTTCAGGCCCTGAATTTCTATACATGACTGATCGAAGGCGGTTGTGAAAAACACAGATGAGCTGCCAACCTGGTTTGTGATGACGTCCAACTCGATGATACAGCCAGGCCTGGCAGTGGACTGCTGGCTGACAATGTTGAACACTTCGCCCACCAGTTTCTAAAGAGACACACGCATGGAGATACAAAACTATCCATTTAGTGTACTGCATTTGAATCCACTAAAGTGGTGAACAATATTGCACATTAGATTCTGAAGTACAGGGTAATGTAGGCTGGAGGTTGTGATAAAACAAAGATACATTGTTTGATTAATAAATAAAGGCAGCATCAAAAGGAATGTAAAGCATGAGAAGAACTTAATATATGGGAATTATGTATTTAAATCAGCTTTGTGATGTGTTCTGGTTAATATGCATCCAATAGAGGACAACAAGCTACTTTATACATTCTTCTTGGTTTTTGATGAACTTTACGAGCTGCGGTGTAAGACACGAAGACTCAGATACATTCAATTCAATGAAGGGATAATCCTGATACAAATGACTACATCCAAAGGAGCAAAAACATTATTGTTTGTTTTCGGTGCAGTTATGAGTGTATGTGTCTACTCACAGACGTTTCAGGGTCTGACAGCTCATCCAGAAGTTTTCTGGCATCCACCACAGCTTGATAGAGACGTAGGTTTTTACCATCTGATGCCACGAAGCAGGCGCTGGCACTGTTGCAGTAAGATCCTGAGGGACACAGCACAAAGTTAGATTGAATGTGCTGTTCCACAAAATATTTAATATTCTGTAATTTAATAAATGTAGTCATGGCCTACATCAATAAAGACATTTTCCAACTTAAACACAATTATTTCAAAGATTAAAGCAACAGGGAGCCAGGATGAAACTAGATCCATGTTGGATCTTAGAGAAAAAATGAGGCAAAGTCATGATCGTTTTCATATATACTGTGCATGATTTAAGGATAGCATTGAATGTATTCACTTAGTAGTCTTAATGCCGAGTGCAACTCGATTTTGAAAGGATAAGAACTGGTGACTTCTAGAATTGTGTGAGTAACATTATGTTTTTTAGACTTCTCTGTTTCAGTGTGTGTACTCTGTTTAAATGCTCTGTAGTTGATCTGACTGAAATTGTGATTTTAAATCTCAAAACCGCTACAGTATTTGTCAGGCAGAAACTTGGGACAAGTAATTTGACTGAAACCTTAAAGCTGAACTAACTGACTGCTAGGGTTAACTTTGGTTTAAACATTTGTAGAATACTAAGAGCTTTATTGAGTAGGTGTAACTGTATTAAGGGTTAAACTCATAACTTTATAACTTAGGGTTTAATGTAATTGTAAAACCACTGTGCCACTGAAAACACAATAACAACTCAGGAGGGAGCAGTCTAGATTTCCTTTTGAGGGCCACCAGCTGCAGAGAGTTAACTAATTAAAGGGGTGTGGCCCCACAGCTGTGAGAACTCAGCAATCAGGTGTCCATTTTAGGTAGCACTTTCCTGGAGCGTCAGACATTAGAGTCCTGCGGGAGTCCCGAGGGAGGCAAAGAGGAGGCAAATCCTACTTTGATTGAGCTAAGTATCGCTGGTGTTTTATTTTGTTTTCTAGCCCCTCATGCTATAATCATGTGTATTTTCTCCATTCCTGTTCATGTGTCTTCTCGCAATTATCACTGGCCCCGTGTATCTCCTAATCGGTATAACCGGCCTGCTCTCGTCCATCCCACATGCTCCACTGAGATCCAACAGCTAGTTGCAGGTGGCCTGTGGAACTGCCAGTCAGCTGTTCCTAAGGCTGACTTCATCTCTGGCTACGCTTCCCTGCAGTCCCTGGATTTCCTTGCTCTCACTGAGACCTGGATCACTCCATCCAACACATCCACCCCAGCAGCTCTCTCCACAGCATATTCCTTCTCCCATACACCCAGACCCTCTGGCAGAGGAGGTGGCACTGGTCTCCTGCTCTCTCCCAACTGGAGCTTTTCCCTCTTCAAGCTACCTAACTTCACTCCTTCCACCTTTTGAATTCCATGCCGTCACAGTAACCCATCCTATACAATTAACCATTGTTGTTCTCTACCGTCCACCAGGCGCCTTGGGGGACTTCTTGGAGGAGTTAGATCATCTCCTCTCACACATCCCTGAAACTGGCCCTCCCGCTGTACTTCTCTGAGACTTCAACCTCCAGACAGGGAAGATAGACAAACTAACATCTCTGTTAACCACCTTTGCTTTCTCACTGTCTCCATCCCCACCAACTCATAACGCTGGCAATGTCCTTGATCTCATATTCTCAAGGAACTGCACTACTTCAACCTCACTGTAAACCCGCTCCACACATCCGATCACTTCTTCATTTCATTCTCTCTACCCCTTTCCAAACATAACAAACTAATCTCTTCTAATTCTGCGCCTGTCCGCCGTAACCTCCGTTCCCTCTCCCCCTCTACCTTTACCTCATCGGTGCTCTCAGCCCTCCCTTCCTCTGACTCGTTCCAACTCCTGCCTCCA